CACGAATTACTTCTAAATTTTCATAATCAAATACTTGTAGAAATATTGAAACAAAGAAAATGCAAATGCATAATGTAAGAATGTAAGAATGAAACTACGAACCTAATGATACAAAGATATGAATGCAAATGCAATGAAGGTGTTGATTCCAAAGTAATTTTCATAAAGCAACTTTCAAGGAACACACCATGTCTCATTACAACGAGGCAAACGGAAACTACAAATCACATCACACTGCTTGACTTCTTCAATTTTGATCGATTATGCAATGAAAAAATATTCTTTTATCCTTGGCTTGATAAAAAATTCCAACGCTTCGACTTTTTTCCATAAATGCATTTATTGAGCAACCATATGTGAATGAAATCATCTATTGTCTCGTGTTGGTTATCGTTTTTGCTTGATGACTTCAAACATATTATTTGTTTTCGACTAGTTGGTTCAATATCGTCGCATCACCCTTGAAAAGCTTGTTTTACTGCATCATTTGATTTTCATGTATTCAGACTTGGTGTACCTTCTTCAGCTACTTCCTCGAGCATTCTTTGGACCAATAATGCATTTTTGCATTTCTACTCTACCCCTTCGAGTGACATTGTCGTATTAAAAGCCTTCTAATGCGACTATTAACTCAGACCAATGATATATATGAAACATGTATTAATTCCAAGGTAATTATCCTAGAACAACTTTCAAAGAACTCACAACGTCCCAATATGGAAAAGCAGATAAAAAATATCTACCCCTTCATGTGGCATTGTCATTTTAAAAGCCTTCTAATTTGATAATTACCCGGGATTTAACACCATATTTATGCACGCAATAAAGAATCAGGACAAGAAAAAGATGTTAGCAAAAATAATAATCAAAGAGAGGAAATATATGTTAGTGAAATATGAAAAGATTGAATTCAACTGGTAAATGAACCATAAAATACAATGAATAAAACACATAGAGGAAATTAAATCCCTAACTATATAATTTCTAGTTCACATTCATTTATTCAAAAATAATCTATTAAATAAACTAAAATACAAAGGTTAGAGATCATTTCTCCTTTGTGTATACTTAATTGGGTATCTATAGACAGAATTTCAACATGGTCATAGATCAGGTGGGTTTCTACAGTTTATTATATGAAGAGTTTCAGTTCTAGGAGTAAAGGTACTCAAATTGTCCTTGTCGGTGCCCCCTTGGGTGAGCTAAACCTTCAATCCTCACCCATTATAGGCTTAATCAGATCGAGTTCAATTCAAGAGGGCACATTTCGTCATGCCTGGCACATATAATAAACCCTCACGAAGATATAGGGTATATGAACCCCGAAAGGTACTTGCTACATCTGACACGGAGAATAAATTCTCATGAAGCGTCGCTTTCACTCCCACTTAAAGGGGAAAGTGTTCGAGTATAGAGCTTATGTTATGCAATGCAAGTGTCGTGTGTGAGGAGAAATTCTCAAACCTTTGACAAACAACCACACTAAAATCGAGCTAAAACAAATCCAAAATTTCAATATATGAAAATCAATCAAATACAAACATTAGTATAGGATGATATAAAGTAAAATAAAATAAAAAAATTGAAAGGAATCAAAGGAATCAGAAATTAAATAAACTGAATGCTCAATTTCTAACTATAGAGACAATATATAATAGATTTAGTCTTGATCCATTATTCCCCATAGGAGTCACCAAGTTGTCGTAACCTATTTTTGGCGATACGATGTGTCTCAACTTGTGAAAATTTCAATTTTGAAAAGAAATGTTTTGGAGTTGCCATCGACCTTTTGGGTTAAGTAGGTCTAACACCTATAAACGACCTTTTAAAAAAAATAAGAAATATCATTTTAAAAGATGCATCAATCTACGTATAACCAGAAATTCATTCTTTTTAGTAATAAAAAAGGGGTTTGGGGGTCGATTACGCTTGGAGAAGAATAAGCACCCCCACAACGCTCAAAATCAGCACCTCATCGATTATAAATTGTCTCTAATAGTGTAAATCTAAGAATTCAAATATAAATGTAAGTTAAGATCCTCTTATTCCAAATTCAATCACATAATTTCATTTAACGGGAAATTCTAAGGAGAAATAGAAAATATTCCAATATTTCTAATTGAAGGGAAAATAATCCCTAAAATACTTTAGGACAAATATTTTTCTTTCCAACTAAAATAAAAAGAATTTAATATTTTCTCAAAAGAATTCAAAATTAAAATAATTTGATTCGACCAAAATAAAAAAAATTAAGCTATTTGAACAAATTTAATTAATTATGTCGGATGATAAAGGTTTGGACTTTAATAGCAAAAATATATACACAATAAAAATAAAATACCAAAAATAAGTATCACAAATATAAGTTCTTAAATAAAATAAAATCATAAATAAACATAAGGACCAAAATGTAAGATAACAAAATAAGACATTCAATGTGATAAAAATATGAAACATGCATATATATATATACATATATATGGGACTAAAATAAAATAAACAGAAAATAAAGTGCAATAATCAAAGGACTAAAATTGAAGTTCTAAAAATAAAGGACAGAAATAAAAAATTAAAGTAATAAAATTAGAGGACTGAAATTAAATAAATAAAAAGAAAGGGGTAGAAAATTAAATTTTCATAAAATTAAATAACAAAATAAAAGAGCAATAAAATAAAATGTTAGAGTTAATTTTTAATATTTAACCCGAACCGTAAATAATGCGAGTCGTACCCCAGGGCGGGTCGTCTCAAGGCCGTACTATGGTTCGAATATAAAATAAATAAATAAATAATAAGTTATCAGTTAGAGGTTAGCGGTTAGATGTTAGTAGAGTTCGGACCATAATATTGTGGATTGTACCCCATATCGGGTCACCACAAGGTCGAATCAAATAATATCAATAAATAAAGGGTTACTTACCCCATTAATAAATGAACTATACCCGATCCTCAGTTTCATACATAATGTTTAAAAACTCTCGATTTCGTACATGATGTTTTTTGTCGTTAACGGATTCACTCACTTCCATTATGGAAAATGACGCGGAAACTTACAACCACTAATAAAATGACACGTGACACTTTAAAAAAACATGTTTTTATTTTTTAGGAAAATTATACCATTCATCACTCAACTATCTTCTCACTTTTATTTTAGTCACTAAAGTTTAAATTTTTATAATATAATTATTAAATTATATTAACCCTTAACTAGAGAAAACGTTCGTCTCCCCCTTTTTCTTCTAAACCCATCTTTTTTCTCACGGTCAAAGGCTCATATGCTCACTAACGCCACCAGCCACCGATCATGGATGGCCTCTCTTACTTCGATCGTTGACTACTCCTACCAGTGATTACCTTAAACCATCGTAATACTAACCCTTAACTAGAGAAAACGTTCGTCTCCCCCTTTTTCTCCCAAACCCATCTTCTTTCTCACAGCCAAAGGCTCATATGCTCACTAACGTCACCGGCCACCGATCATGGATGACCTCTCTTGCTTCGATGTCGACTACTCCTACCGGTGACGACCCTAAACCGTCCTAAAACAAACAACACTTCAAAATCTGATCTAAAATCCTCTTTTTTATATAATTGAAATCTAGAGTACCTGATCGCCGCCCTTTTCTCCATCTACCACTGGCCATGGCTAAATAACCTAAACCTAGTCTTCTCCTTCTCAAACGAAAACTTAAAGAGCATAAGAATACCCCCTACACAGTCTGAATTTTTATTTACATCTCTCTTTGTTTTGTTTACATACGTGTGATATTTGGAAGTTGTTGGAGGCCAACTGATTTTGGATATATTCATGCTACTCCTATGTTTTATCTCTTCATTAACAATAAATATCAAAATCATATTCACTGTTCACGATTATTAAAAGTGACCCAACCCAGATTGAGCAAAACCCATTAAATTGAACATCAAACTAAGCATTGCTGTTTCTTCAATGAGCATTTTCTCTAATCTTTTTTTTCGTACCCTCTTTGGTAGGTTTCATCATCTGGGGTTCAAAGAAAAACTGAACTACGTTTCCAAGTGGATGCGCTTGCACATTAAACATTGCGACAAGGAACTGAAGAAGCCAGTTATGTTTACCGAGTATGGCTTGTCAGACCAGAACAGAGACTACCAGCCAACCCAAGGAGAGCTGTTTTATAGAACCATTCTGAACATCATTTATAAATCTGCAAAGAAAGGGTCTGGGGCAGGTGCCTTAGTCTGGCAATACTTTGTTGAAGGAATGGCAGAATATAGCGATGAGTTTGGGATCGTACCATGGGAGTTCCCTCGGATCTACAAACTGACCGTAGAACCCTCGTGCAAATTGGCCAGAATCCAACGACTTGTTGAAGAAAACAAAAACTTAAAACATTTGTGTTCCAAGTGAAGACGACACAATCAGAAAATTCAATTCGATTCTTTCTGACTAAGTAGTTTGTGCGAGGTATAAGAAGTTTATTTGGTATTGTATATTTTCTTTTTTTTTTTCCTCAAATCCATACAAATTACTACGTAGCTAAGTAGATATGCATATATATATATGGTACAAGATTGATAGTTTGCTACCAAATTTTCCTAGCAGCCATGAACTATCTACAATGATTCTGATTCTGATTATGTGTTCTTGTTAGAAATTTGAATGAACCCCATTTAATGGTGGGTTTTAGTAGAAAATACATTTACAGCCAATAAAATAGCTTGAATGAATCCAATCCAGTAATTTTTTTCATTGCTAAAAGCTCTCTTAATTGTACCAAAATGCAAAGTTTACAAATCAAAGAGTGATTACATTAAGGTTGGGATTTTGAAGTCCCTTCACCATTGAACGTCCTTTGATATTCTAATCATAATTTAAGCTTACTTATCAACCACGCTTTGCCGATCTCGGAGAACACCTTGTTATTGTCCATGTTCCACTCAGTTGCAATTCATATTTACCCTTCATCAATCCCTTTACAATCCTCTTCTTCTTATTCACCACTTCGGACTCAACATCAATGCCGATACCATCTCTGAAACTCCTCCTCTTTACTCGTCCTGCCACTATCCTTATCATTGGCCATTCTCTCAAAATCATCTCCCAGTTTCCTCACAGCCCCTTTCCTCAACACCCTCTTAGCTTCTCTCTTCACCACCATTTCATCGCCATAATTTTCTCCATCCACATCCTCCTCCTCGCCATCTTCATTAAGGTCAAAGAATCTCCTCCTCTTGACGGCCTTTGGAGCATGATGGGGAGACACTGAAGCATCCCTATTGGTTTTATTAAGAATCGGATCATCATCCTTGTCGTTAAGGAGCTTCTCGCGCTGGGCTTTCAGTCTCTTAACGTTGCCTTCGATCTGCCCTAGGAGACGGAGACGCTTGAAACTGAGATCGTCAATGGACCAATGCGCTTCATTGGCCCAGGACAACAGCGGATCAAGAACCGGAACCGGAGGATCCACACGTTCGAAATTGAACCGGGTCTCGGTTTAGATACGAGACCGAGGGAGATTGCTGTCGTAGAACTTGTCGGGGCCGAGAGGAACAACCATGATTTGGAGATTACAAATTTGAGAGCTTTTGACAAATAGCTTTCTGTTTGCGAAAAACCAATCATTTAGTAATGAACTATTCATGATTATTAAAAAAGAGCTAACCCAGATTGAGAAAAACCCATGAAATTGAACATCAAACTAAGCACAAAAACACAAAGAAAATGGTAAGAGAAAGAGATGGAAATAGACCAGCAGAAAAGAAAATCGAGAAAAATAAATCAGGGGGAAAGTGATTTGGTTTGGGTTTAAAGGATTGACGAATTTCTAGAATTATTGATAAAATAAATTTGTTATTAAAATAAGAGTAATTATATAGTTTAATAATTAAATTAAAAATATTTAAACTTTAGTGACTAAAATAAGAGAGAGAATATAGTTGAGTGATGAATGGTGTAATTTACCTAAAAAATTAAAAAAAAAACATATTTTTAAAGTTTCACTTGTTGTCGTAGGGTTCCAGGTCACTTTCCGTGACGGAAGTGGGTGAATTCGTTAACGGAAAAAAACATCATGTATGAAATCGAGAATTTTTAAACATTATGTATGAAATTGAGAATCGAGTATAGTTCATGCATTAATGGGGTAATTAACCCAATAAATGGTTAAAATGCAAGAAAATAAAAAATCAATGGTTAATTCGAAATAAATAAAAGCAGAATTAAATGATTACATTAAAATGAAACAAAAAATCATTACAAATAAAACAAAATAATACATAATGACTAATATGTAAAAATAAGCGTAACTTAGGAGGATTATTTCATAATTTTTCCCTAATTTTAGTAACTAGAACTTAAAGAAGCTCTAAACAGCTGAGGACATTAGAAGAATTTAACCCTGGAATAGTGACTAAAATGCAAATAGACGCCAAAAATATGAGGATCTAAATGTGATAACCCTTTATTTTGATGACAAAAACATCAAGTACACTGGAAATGGAGGACCTAACATATGATTTACCCAAAAGTTAAAAACTAAGGCCCCTCCTTGTTCTTTCCAATAGAACTTGAAAACCAAAAAGAAAAAAAAATTCCTCCCCTTATTCCTTTCATATTTCTTTCTCACACTCTCCCTCTCTCTAACTCAACGTGTGGTCGTCCCTCATCAAAACCCAAGGCTTTTAACGTCGGCCGCCGCTTTGGTGGCCATCACATGCTCTGACCGGCGACCCTAGGGACCGAGGAAGGCCAAGCAAGAGTCTAAGAGACCCGAAAGCTTCTTTCTCTTTCCTATTTCTCTCAACCGAGAACACCCAACCCCCTAAAGGAACATTTGGCCGCCACTCCCCCTACTCCGACGAAGACCTCCAACCCTCTAAAGGTAAACGACTCTTTTCTAACTTTACTATTTTTGATTAAAAAAAAGAAAGACTATTGAACAAAAAAGTTACTGTAAAAAAAAGGAAGAGCTTTCTTCTTTTTGGAAATGTTGTATTTGTATTGATTTTGAAAATGGGGAAGGGAAGTTGCAATCTTTCCAGAGAAAAGAAAGAACCCTCTCCTTATCTACATTTTTGTGTGGGGTTTTATAACTCGTTCTTTGGTTACAAAATAAATAATAATAATACATGCCTTTTATTGATTTGGTGAGGAGCATGGTGGTGTTGTAGTTGATGGTGGCAGGGCATGGCAAGGGATAAAAAATTTGTGATTACAAGAACCCAGTCCACTACGGTTTTGTAATCACTTTCCAAAATGAGTCTTGCTCTGAGCCTTCTATTGAATAATAACTCAATTCCTTTCTTTATCGCCTGTAACTTAGCAAGAAGCGAAGCACCTCTACCAATCAGTTTTGAAAATGACGTTATGCACATACCAGTACAATCCCGTAAAATCCCCCTAACCCATCGAATCAACCCTGGATATAGCAGCATCAATATTTAATTTGAGGGTAAATCATAGAAATGGTCACTAAACGTTTCTAAAGCTTTCATTTAGATTCCCCAATTTTTAAAACTTACAATACAGTCCTCCAACATTTAGTCCGTTTTCAATATGGTCTTCGGCATAACCGACCGTTGGACGCCGTTACACTGCCGTTAGTACATTTACAATATGGTCACTGAATTTTTCAGGCACTTGCATTTAGGTCCCTCAACTTTTAAAACTTACAACACAGTCCTCAATTTCATTCTAAACCCAAAATTCCAAAATAATTTAATTACATTTAAACTCTAAATTCTAAAATACTTTAATTTAGGGTTTAGAATGTAATTAAAGTATTTTGAAATTTTGGGTTTAGAATAGAATTGAAGTGTTTTGAAATTTTGAACATAAATTTGCTATTTGACATTGTTTACTTTAATATAAATTTGAGGTTTGTTGCATGCACATCCAACAGTTGTCGTACTTTGAACATGAAAAGTGCACCTATCACGTTTATTGCGTAAACTGTTGAAGTAAAAGTCACAATGTCAATTTGTCTTATTCGTAGTTGTCGCACTTTGGTATGACAATCAATAGGTTTGGATTGTACTTGAGCATGCACGTCCAATGGTTGCAAAAATAGTAAAGATTTTAGTTCATAGGATTACAACATACAACCAAGCAATACTAAAATAAACCAAGAATATCAATTAATAACTCATTCAAAAGGAGGACTTAATAAATAAAGGGAAAGAGGTTCGGTCATAGTCACTCTAAAAGCTAAGGGGTCAAATGGGTTGTTTAAGATATACATTAGATGCCAAATACAACATTACCAATTGAAAATGCGTTAATGGCCTACCCTTTTAACATATAATTGCTTCTAATTCTCCATGTTTAATGTTCCTCAATAGCCAAACATGATGAGAATCTAAAGTAGATAGCAGAACTAAAATCATAGGACCCCATAATTCTTGTAAATTCATGGCATGTCAGCAATAAAAGACATTATTAAACATAGAGGACACTGTAACAAACATATATATGCCAGAAATGAATGTGCAAATCTGCAATGACCGGCAACATATCAACTAACTGCTCCAAATATACTACCCTATCACGATGCCTTTCAAGTTGCGTGCATGAAAAATTATCTTCTAAAGCTATAATTTAATACATATTCAACTGTAAAATTTCCAAAACATGCAAAATCCATAATCAACATGAACTTATTAAAACGAATACAAGCTCACAGGACACCGAAAACCACAGGTCGGATCAATACAATTCCCAGTAAACTAGTACCAGCAGTCTCTCGGATTGAGCCTGGTGATTTCACTGTGTCGATACTCACAACCAATTCCCTGATTTAAAGAAAAATCAAACAAGAAGTTCAAAAAAGTTTAGCCTAGGACTCTCTTTCACTTCTATTCTGATAGACTGAATATCTTTCATAAGGAATACTAAAAGTTTTAATTAAAAAAAGGAAAGAAAATTAGATGGTTTTGGTTCAAAACTAACACTGAATATCTTGATCTTTGACTTGCGGTTCCAGAAACATAATAATTTCAACAAAAACAAAACACACAATGAGAGCTGAAAATGGGAAAGTGCGAAAGAGGAAAAGCTTACTAGCCCAAAACAGAAAATAAATACCTTCTTGCAAGTGAGGGGAGAGGCTAAGAAATAAACACAATCGGTGTTGCGTTCCAGCAATTTTTCCTCCATTTTTTCTTTGTCAATAAAAAGCTGAAATACATAACACTGCTTGGGTTTACAATTTTACATGGCGGAAAATTGAAGAAAAAAAACCAAACGAGAGTGCATGTGCGCGAAAGAGACTGAAAGGTGAATGCGCTGTTTAGGATTTCATTATATTTGATCATCTGTTGGAAAATTTTTAACCACAAATATTAAACGAAGAAATTATTATATGTCATTTATACAAAATAATTCCATCTTTGTTTGTGACTTTCAACAACGATACTTAGTTCATCATAGTAGTATTTGTCAACTCTGCATTTCTAACCCCATTTTTTTCCTCACAAGCATTTCATCGAATATCTATGCTTCACCTGAGATGACATGTATTTAACATTACACCTTGAATCGTTTATGGTCCCGATAGTTCCTTGGTCGAGTCTTATCTCAATGGACGCTTATTTAAGTCAACACCTCCACATAATTCAAAGTTAGATTAAAATTTCCCATGCATCCCCAACTGAAAAGTTACACTGGAAATAAGAAGATAGAAGCGAAAAAGGAAATTCGAGATCGAAAAGGAATTTGGGGTTTAGAATGAAATTGAAGATTATGTTGCAAGTTTTAAAAGTTGGGGGACCTAAATTCAAGCGCTTGAAAAGTTCAATGACTATATTGCAAACGTACTAATGGCAGTGTAACGGTGACAAACGACTGGTTATATCGGAGACTATATTACAAATGGACTAAATGTTAGAGGACTGTATTGCAAGTTTTAAAAGTTGAGGGACCTAAATGAAAGCTTTAGAAAAGTTCAGTGATCATTATTATACTTTACCCTTAATTTAATAAATCCTACCAGGGGCTGTTTCCAACACTTCTTCGCTTTATGAAGAATTCATATAGCCAATCTAGTAGTAAACGTTAGGGGTGTTTTGTTGGATTATATTTTTTTAAAAAAAGTTTAGGTATCAAAACAAAACAAAAGTAATTGTTTAGGTAGTAAACGTGTAGTTTACCCTTTAATTTATTTAATTTGAAAATATTGAATTAATATTGTATTCTATTAAATTTTTTGTTTATTTTCAGATATATTCTAAATATTGTATACAATTTCCTGTTTATTTTTAATTTAATTTATTTGGTTAATATTTTATTTTATTATTATTTACTCATTCCTCCTACCATTTTCATGTCTTTTTATTTTAATCTCGATTACATGTTTTATTTACTTTTAAATTTTAATCCTAGGTTAGTTTACTTGACTTTAAATTTCTCCATTTTGATTTTTTTTATTAGTTCCTCGTATAGATTGATTAGGATAATATTTAAAATAGTTATCGCTTACGATTGGGTTCTATTTTAATTATCCAATCAAAAAAATTTAAAACTTATTAGGACTTAAATATTATAGCCTCAATCTTGTAACTTTACAAGATGTAATCACCACAGTAATATTGCTAGAAACATACTTATGGCCTTTGATTAATTAAAGA